AAAATAAAGACAATAAACTGCCAGATTTGCAAATTAGCTTAATAATAACTTTTAATGTGTTTTTAACAAAAATAAAGACAATAAACTGCCAGATTTTATAAAGCAAGATGAAGCCATTAATAATCGCAAATAACTTAAAATCTGGTTAAAAAAAGCTTAGTGATCTATCAGTTAATAAAACCGTTGGTATGGATGGTGTAAGCGCACATGTATTGAAGACCTGTTCTGATAGCTTCTCGATACGGTTAAGTACAGTTTTTCAGAAATCGCTAGATAGTGGTTGTTATCATAAAGTATAGAAAAAGGCTAATGTAACACCACAGTTCAAAAAAGGAAGTAGATTTGATCCAGGAAACTACTAGCCTATATCTTTATCATCAATTGTTTGTAAAGGGATTAGAAAAATAATACGCAAAAGTAACGTCAATCACTTAATCGACCATAATCTTATTTCAAAAATCAACATGGATTTATTAGTAAAAAAGCGTGTGTGATTAAATTGTTGGAGTCAATTGAGATGATGTTAAAAGCATTATTTGAAAAAGTAGCTATGGATGTAGCGTTCATAGATTATAATAAAGCGTTAAATATGGTTCCACACAAGCTACTAATTCACAAACTCGAGACATATGGTTTCACTGGAAATCTCCTAAATTGAAAAAAAAAATTTATATTAGCGGTTTCAACGAATCATGATGGGTGATTTTGTGTCATTGTGGTTGGAGGTGTTGAGTAGCGTCCCTTAAAGATCCGTCTTAGGTCCAAGACTATTCATCATTTTCGTAAATAGGGTATCTGATACTGTTATTAAATCGTGTAAAATGTAAGCGGATAACACAAAACTGCTGGCTTGTTTAGACCACCCGTTAGCCTCACAAAAAATTTAAAATGATATCAACAATATTGTCAAATGATATAAAATCTGGCATATGAAATTCAATATCGTTACATGTAAAATCATGCACATAGGTAAAACAAACGAGTTTTATGCCTACTAAATGCTAGCTAATAACAACAACAGCATCGAGCTTCGATTAACTTTAGTCAAACGTGATTTGGGCGTCATGATCACAGCAGATTTGAAATAGCATTATAATTCAGCCTATGGAATCAACAAAGCCAACCGTGTTTTAAACATATTATATTTTACATTCAGCCATATGACTCCACAACTTCTTAAAATTCTATAAATAACGTTTGTACGCTCTCATCTAGAATTTGCGGAAGCAGCCAGCAACTTATTGCCAAGAATGGATATTAATAAATTTGAGAAAGCACAGCCTTTTACTGTCAATTATCATACAAAGATCGTCTACTAAATTTAACTTTTTTAGAAACACATCGAATTAGGAGGGATCTGATACAAGCGCATAAAAATGTTAATAAGATGGACATTGTCTCATGGAATGAACCCCATGTTCTTCGTGTTGGGTTTGCAAATCCAATAAAAACTAGAGGGCATTATCTAAAATTGACAAGAGAATATGCACAAAATTGCGAGAATGGCATTAGCTTTTTACAAACCGAGTAGTGAACCATTGGAACGCATTGCCGTCAGACGATGTAAACGCTATATCTGTTAAGAGTTTCAAAGTTAAGCTCGATACAGAAATTTCAAATAATCCAAATAAGTACCAAGGTTATAACTAAATAAAAATATTAAAGTACTACATTATACTTTATACTATATTTCCATGTAATTTTTATACATTGATTTAAATATAAATTTGAGTATGAAGTAGATAAGACTGTCATAACCTATACGTTATAAAGTGAAACCTATCACAGCATTTTAATACTACTACTACATCATTTAACTTGTAAAAATCATTATTAGAGATTATGCAGACATCCGCGGAATATAAACCAAACTTATTCTGATAATGTACATACTGAACACTGTATTTCAAATCTCAAATTACTAGACCACCTTGGATCGTAAAAGTGTTCGACTATAAAGTTATACTATACAGTTTTCGATCCTCTTGCTCTACGGTAGACTTGTTAACTACTGTGACTAAAAAACTTTATCGTGCATTAGAAAGAGGTGGGTTATTTCTCTTGACATATCTAAAGCTTTTGCCAAAGTTTGGCATGCTGGTCTTCTCCGTAAGCTTGTTTCATGTGTTGTATGTTGAAAAAAATTTTGAAATAATCAAGTTATTTTACCCTCAAGGTTCTGTCCCTGATCCTGTTTTTTTTCTTATCTACATTAATGATCTTCCCAAGAACCTTACATCTAAAGTAGCTCTTTTTGCTGATGACTCAACTTTATACTCCTGTCTTGACAAAAAGTCTTCTCTTTCCGATCGCTTAGAACAGGCAGCCAATCTTGAATCTGGTCTCACTTCTGTAACAGATTGTGGCTCACAGTGGTTTGTAAATTTTAACTTCAAAAAAACTCAGCATTTACTGCAAACAACTATTGCTGTACTGTCGACATTCCTATATTAATGAATTCTTATATTAATATTGTTATTATCATTTACTACTGATCTTTTATGGAGAACATATATAAAATTGATTGCTAAACTAGCATCTGCTATGGATGCTTCTCTTTATCGTGCTCGCCATTTTCTCTCTCCTGATTTAATTCTATACCTCTACAAATCTCTTATTCGTCCCTGTATGAAATACTGTTGTCATATTTAGGCTGGTTCTTCTAATGATGCTTTTTCTTCTCTAGACTAGGTCCAAAAACGCATTTTAAACGTAGTTGGATCCGGTCTACCTTCTAAGCTTGAGCCTCTTTCCCATTGTCGTAAAGTCGCATCTCTTTTTCTTTTTTACAAATGCTACCATGTTCGCTGCTCTAAGGAACTATCATCTCTCGTTCCACCATCTAAAACTCATTCTTACTTGACTCAACATTTATCAAAGTCTCATTTTTCATTGTATCTGTCCCTGCATGTTAGAAAGACTTTTATTTGTCTAGTTTTTTCCCTCGTACTTCACTTTTGGAACTCTCTCTCATCTTCATGTTTTCCTGACTCATACAACCTTCAACTTTTTAAGTCTTCTGTCAACCGTTTCCTTGCTCTATAACTCATTTTTTCCAGTATCTCCCAACTAAATAGTGATTGCTTGCAGCTTTGTTGGGAGTGAATAAGCCGTCATTTGAAGTCATTTTATTTGACATAACGACATAACTGACGTGCAAAATAGTGTTTTAATAGCTCATTTGAAAGATAATAGTAGATTTTATTAAATTATGCAATAAAAAAAGAAGTTTTAAAATTACCAACTATTTTATGCTTATTAGTAACACAAAAAATATTAAACTCAAAAAAAAAAATAAAAAAAAAAGCTTTTTATCATACAGTTTAGAAGCATACGGAATGATATTCATTTATATAAATATATACATTTTATTAAAGCTAAATGTTTAAGCTATAAAATGGTATATAATAATGTAATTTTTGAGAATGTATTTATTTTTATTTTTATCCACCTGGCCCACTGTGCGTCTGTGAAATGTTTTCTCGGCATTTTTTACAGACAAAAAAACGTAATTTGCAGACGGTCTGTAACGTGCAGTCGTAAAAAAAAAAAAAATTTGTTTGACACAAATAAAATTAAACTCAAAGCCATTTTAAGCTGTTATTCTTAATTTATTATGCTAATATTTTAATAAGTTTATAGTTACACATTTTATCAATATTTATTCCAGTAAAAGCGGTTCATATACTCATATACGTTCTCTTTGTGACAAGTGACCGTTTCAAAAACAATATATATTTGTTGTTTATTTATATTGTAACAAACACTAAATATATTTTACATAGGTTTGAATAAAAAATGTATAAGATTAGTTTTTTGATAATCACAGAGTTGGACTAGAGTTATATAAGACTTCTTTTTTTTTTGCTTCTAATTATTTGGACATTGTAATAAGTTTCGCTTTCTAGTAATCATTGTTAAATATATACTTTATTAAATTATGAAGAAATATTTTTATACATTATATGTTATGCATTATTTTACACACATTACATACATTAATTATCGATGTTAACCATTGTTTAACGCAAATTTTTGTGATGAAAAGTCAGCCGAAGCATTTTAAAAGTAATAATTTTGTAATTTAAGAATTACTTATTGCTTTTTACATTTTTTTAAAACGAGGAGTTTTTTTTGACTTTAATTAAAATCAAAAACGAGTTTTAAAAAAAAAACCCGACTATTAAATTTCATTCTATTTGTTTTTGAATTTGATTATTTCATTTATAATGTGAATAATCAAATAGTATAACAGTTTATTATTTAATAATAATATGACCATAGATATATCCTTTTTTAATAATATAAGTATATAATTATTATAATCATAGGTGAAATCTGTTCCTCATACTTTTTTTTGTTTAATCTGAATACTAAATATATATGAATGTATATATATATATATATATATATATATATATATATATATATATATATATATATATATATATATATATATATATATATATATATATATATATAATATATCATATCATATAATATATATATATATATATATCTTATATATAATATATATAATATATATATATATATATCATATATATAATATATATATCATATATATAATATATGTATATATATATATATATATATATATATATATATATATATATATATATATATACATATATTATATATATATATATATATATATATATATATATATATATGTATATATATATATATATATATATATATATATATATATATATATATGTATATATATATATATATATATATATATATATATATATATATATATATATATATATATATATATAATATATATGACAAGAGCACAACAAGCAAAAAAGTAAAATTATTATAAGCAGCCTAACTGTAGTTTTACCTATATATATATATATATATATATATATATATATATATATATATATATATATATATATATATATATATATATATATATATATATATATATATATATATATATATATATATATATATATATACATTCACTGTAATATAGATACTATTGCTTAAATTAAAGTTAAAAATAAGTTTTACAGAAATGGCATTGGTTTTTGATTCTGATGAAGATGGCGGTGTTAATGAGTTAGTTGGCAATGATGAAGATGATGAAGTAGATGATGATGACTATGTTCCCGAAAAAAAAGGTATTGGTAAATTATGATATTTCAACTACGTCGTGGATAGAGTACCAAAAGTTTTAACTGTTAATAGCGCGTTCATTGGTTGCTAAAGGTCACATGTAAAAACAAATCTCGTTTTTATATAGAGAGTTTATATAAAAACTTTCAGTATTCTATCCACGACCTTTCAACTATATGTATCCATGGATTTGTCGGAATCTATTTGACTATTTTGACAGGCTTTTTTGCAAAAAAATACATATAATTTACTACATTTTTAAAATGAACAACTAATAAATTCATTTAGTTTGTTTATAGTTTCGCCAGTTGAAATTTTATTTAATTGTTTGATTTAAAGTGGTTAGCTTGAAAATTTCAGCACCATTATATTGCCATGTTGTATAATCCAATGCAAAACCATGTAAGATTGGCCTCAAAACAAAGTAGATATTTGGAAGATAGTCTTGCATGGTTGTCAAAAAGTTTCTTCCATAAATTGTTGTTTTAAATTGAACATTAATAAAGCAGAAAAAATTTAAAAACTTGAATAAAGTTATCTTTAATGATAGACTGCCCTAACCAAACCCTCAGTCGTTGTTGCAGGGTTGGAAAAAACCCAGGGTTTTTTAAAAAAACCCTACCCAAATGGGTTTTTTTGGGTTTTATTGGGTTTTTTTGGGTTTTATGGGTTTTTTGGGTTTTTTTAAAAACCGATCAAAATACCAAATTTTTATAACTATATGAGTATAATAATTTTTTTTTTAATTTCATAAACTCGCCTCCCTATTGCTCCAATGACCACTTCAGTCAAGGGAGCAACTCATTTTTTAAAAATATTCTGTCTCAATCCTTAACATTACCATTTTTACTTACAAGCAACATTAACAACTAAAATTTTTACACAAATGCACTGTTCGAAGAAATAGATTGAGCGCAGTAATTTCAGCAGAGATAATTTGAACCCCAACCTTCTGATTGTGAGCCAAATGTTTTACTACTATTCTACTAGCACATTTTACCTATAGTGCAAAAAGGGACTCCATCAATTATAAATGATCTTAATTAATTGAACTAAATTAAAAACATGTTTAGAATATTTTTGACTAAAAAAAAATCACTATAAAAATTATTATGACAACTGAGTTATTCAAAGTTGGTAAGACAATATAAATGTTGGAAACTAGTTATATAGTTAAACCTTCTAAGTTATTGTCAATCAGAATGACTATGAACCCTTTTTAAATATTTTTGCATCATTGAAGAAAACTGTTTGCCTAATCACTACATTTTTTTTATCAGAACATTATACTGTCCAGCTTTCTGAAAAAGTTATCGGCATGATCAACTGGACTTGATTTTTGCCTAAGCTTTGGTTGTTATTAAAATATCTAAAATGAATTTGTTAAGAACCATTACAGTGTCTTCACCACCAGATTCTTTTTTTTTTCTTGAAGATGTTTTACTGGCTCAGTTATGCAATTGAATCAAAGTAACACATTATATAGCTCTATTGTGCGTGTTTCTTCACCTTTGTGCAACTTGATACTGATGTTCATTTTCAACCTGCTGTTCATAGTCACCCCTGTTCGTGGTACATGTTGTAAACTTGTAGCTGATGCAAAATACTTGAAACCTGTCAAAAGACAGATGAGCAGGAGTATCATTTTTGCCAACAAATCTTGTCCTTGTGAAATACAAACAAGTTTTCAATATGTTCTCTCATTGAATGAGCAAATATGTTGCAAACTTGCACATAACTTAATTTTTTTTATGTTTTAAAGTTGTATGTACTTAAAATAGATAAGTCTAGTAAACTGTAGGATTTTTTTTTGCCTGACAACTTTCCATTTCTAAACTGTAAATAAAGTTTAATAATTTTTATATATAGCATTTTGCTTGTGGCTTTGTACTGAAATTTGCAGTTAGTAACATAAGCTTTAAAAAATAAAAGATCAAATACCAATATAAAATAACATATATAAAATGCTTGTTTAGAAATATAGACATTCGAGAGGAGAATAAAGATACTAAATAACTAATAATGTCTTGAAATTTAGTTAATAGAATGATTTTTATTTCCTTTATAAGTATTTAACTAATTTAATGTTTTTATACACATTTGAATAACATTTATAATAACTTGGTATATGTTTTAAAAAAATAATAGATATTCAACTTGCTACAAAAACAGATTGATCAATTTTGGGTATATTCTAAAGACCATTATGTATATAAATACAGTGTTTACAAGAGTAATTACAGCATAAAAGTTGCACTTGCTGATAATAAAGCATTTATAAGTGTTAAAATCAGAGTTATCAGTTGTAAAATAGGACATTTTTAAAAAAACCCAAAAATATTTTGGGTTTTTTTGGGTTTTATTGGGTTTTTATAAGGTGGGTTTTTTTGGGTTTTTTTGGGTTGGGTTTTTTTGCCAACCCTGCGTTGTTGCAGCACTCCCTTGTGAGTCAGGCTATTTTTCAGTCAAAGTAGCAGTACTCCATTGCAAGTCAGGCTATAAGATAGTTGATTTAGCAATACTTCATTGCGAGTCAGGCTATAAGATAGTCAATGTAGCAACACTCCGCACATGTTTTAAAAATATATTTTAATAAAACAACAACAAAAATACCATGAATTAAAAAAACTTTCTAGTCATAATTGCGGTTTTTTTAAAAAACAATAAAATTTAATGTACTTCGGCATTAATTTAATCTATTTTTTGATAAGATGTCAGTCACAAAGCTTTACTGTGAAACAGTAAAGCTTTGTGACTGACAATGCAGCTAATGTGAAATCAATGAGACAACTATTGTTATCTGAAAGAGATATTGTCATAACTTATGGGTGTGCTCCTCATATGCTGAATTTTTTAGCAAATGATCTTAACATTGAAAATGTGAGCAAGCATGTTACACTAATAAAATATATAAGAAATAATCGTCAAGCTGGAGCACTTTATAAATAAGGCAGAGGAACAAAATTGCCACTTCCTAATGAAACTCACTGGAATTCTGTATGTGATTCACTTAAAAAATATGTCAACAAAAGGACCATTATTTTTACAATGTTTGAAAAAAATAAAGACTTGGATCCCCTGATTGGTAAAAAAGTAAGTGATATACAGATAAAGCGAAACACAGAAGATTTATTGAAAATATTGAAACCAATAGCAGTAGCTCTAGATAAGATTCTAGATACCATGAATTTCGCAGATAAAGAGTTCAAGAATTTGTTACCAATATTATTCAAATTAAAAGCCAAATCTATTATAACATAATAGATATTGAAAGCTAATAAACCTTCAATATCAAACAAATCTTTGCATTTAATAAAATGCACCAGCTTCTAGTGCTGGAATCAAAAGCATTTTTTCAACTATTGGTTTTGTTCATTCTAAGTTAAGAAACCGATTGACAGTAGAAAAAGCAGCAAAGCTTGTATTTATATATAGAACATTAAACAATGATGTATTAAATAATTTTGATGAAATATAACAATAATATTGATAAAGAATATAGTTTACTCAAATGAAATACGTTATGCTTTTTTTAATTTAAAAGGATAACTAAATACTGCATTTTTTAGTTAAAACCTAATTTAAACCAAAAAAAGCATGGTTTTTTTGTTTTTTTTTTTCAAAAAAAAACGTTTTTTTTGCAACCCTGCATATGGGTTAAGGTAAGCAATAAAGTGAGCAAATGCTTATAAAAATACGCTTTAGTAAGTGTATATATATATATATATATATATATATATATATATATATATATATATATATATATATATATATATATATATATATATATATATATATATACAGTACTGGAAAAATTATTATGGATTTTTAGAATTGTCACTAAATTCCATTAATTGAGACAACTAAAAAGTTTTCAGTGGTCAAAGATATGCTTTTGTTTTAATGACATTTATATATATTGTAATGGGACTATTTTATTTTCAAATAAAATCTATTTAGATCTGATTTTTTTAATTTTAGAGTCATTTAAGAGCTAGACAAGAAAAGTTTCTGAAATTTAACTGTAAATTTTGAAATATGTTAATTTGAGTTTGTGTCAATTTCTTTTAATCTCTGTGGTGTATGGTGCGCTCTGTATTATTTAAACTCTACAAATTTTAAGTTTCAGTTTTAAAAAAATAAAAAAAATAGTTGTTCAGCAAAATCTGTGACATTTTTGACTGATTTTGAAGTGATGGGGAAAAGAAAAGACCTGAGCCCTAGAAAAAAAGTAGCCTAAATTAAAAGGAAATATGAAATTGAAGATTTCAACGCAAACAGTTAATGCAGTGAAAAGGAAGCTGGATGAGGGTAGAAACATTGAAGCTAGAAGAGTTGGAAATTGCAGTCATAATAGAATCATTACCCCCAGACTTGAGAGAAAAATCAAAGTAATGGCCCTCAAAGATAGAAGAAGTTCTTGCAAGAAGATATCTATGGAATTAGCAAGTCAAGGTATTAATATAAGCCGTAAAACAGTGAATAATTGCTTGTTGGAGCAGGAGCTGAAAGCATACAGACCAAGAAAAAAGCCAAGACTCACAAACAAAATGAAGCATGCCAGGCATGGGTGGGCTGTTGAGCATGAAAGTTAGAAGCAAGAAGATTGGTCCAAGGTAATCATTAATTTAGCTTTCTGTTAGATCTCTGATAGTATTCATTTCTAAATTTCTTTCAGTTTCATCATAATTTCTGACTAATATCAGATAATAACTTGTTGATCATGATTATTAACGTAATGTTTGTACCATAATTTCTTTAAAACTTATCATGCATTTTTTTTGTTCAGGTAGTATTTTCAGATGAATCAACAATTGCTGTGTTGGATGATAGAATCCAGACAGTCAGAAGATGGCCTGGAGAGAAGTTTAAGCCTGAGTGCCTTAAGAAAGCAATGAAGTTCCCTACTAAGATTATGGTGTGAGGACCGATATCTATCTATGGAACAAGCCGTCTACATATTGTGGAAGGAATGAACCAGAAAAAGTATATAGAGGTGTTGGAGAAATGTTTGGTCCCTCAAGTCAAAGACTAGTTCACTAATAAGGATTTTGTATTTCAAAAAGATTGTGCTCCTTGTCATACGGGCAAGTTGTCAATAAAATGGTTCAGAAACAATGGATTCTCTGTACTCGAATGGCCTGGGAACTCACCAGATATGAACCCAATTGAAAATTTCTGGAACATTTTAAAGGACAAAATACACAAAGTTCCAATTACTACAAAAGCACAGCTTATAGAGAGGTTAATCCATGTCTGATTCCACAGCAAAAAAATCACAAAGTTATGCCGTGATTTAACCATAGGCCTGCCCAAGAGAGTGAAAGCATTGGAAGCTCCCAAAGGTGGTCAAACCAAGTATTAAAAACTTTGATATACCTGGAATATATAATCTGTAACTTTTTTTTATGTTATGATTGTTTTTAAAGTAAAAAACTTGATTTTTATTTAAAAACTGAAAAATTTATAATAATTTTTTCCAATACTGTATATATATATATATATATATATATATATATATATATATATATATATATATATATATATATATATATATATATATATATATATATATATATATATATATATATATATATATATATGTATATATATATGTATATATATATATATATATATGTATATATATATATGTATATATATATATATATATATATATATATATATATATATATATATATATATATATATATATATATATAAATTTATATATATGTTAATTAAAAATGGTTGACATTGTTTACAAGATTGATTAATGCCCTGATTAATATTACTAAAAGTAAAAAAATATAGATAAAGAATAATTTCTTCATAGCTGCTGTTTCTGATGATGCCGATGATGGTGAAGAATCAGATCCTGATTTTAATTTAAAAAAGAAAAAAGTATCTTCAAAAAAAAGAGGCCGCCCTTCGAAGGGCTCTCCTCCTGAAAAAAAACTGAAATCTGATACTTCTAGCAAAAAAGGTAAAGGAAGACCTAAAAAGTCACTATCTAAAGAATCTGTTCAAAAGAGCCCAGTGCAAAAAGGAAAACCACAATCTATATCAAAAGACAATCATAACATTTTAAGTGAAGAAACAGAAAAATGTAAAGAGGCAGTTGACTCTAAAAGGAACTCATTACGAAGGTAAGTTTTGATTATATTATGTTATTTATACACCTATTGTGCACAAAATAGGAAAATGTTATTTAAACTTCAAAAATGCGGGTGTTTTCAAACATTGGAGTAAGTGTAAGCTATTATTAGTACATAATTGTTGAAAATGCTTGTGCATGTGTGCCCATCTTGTGCATAAATTACCAATGTGCAAGATGCATGTAACCACAAACTGGTATAAATGATTGTAAAGTTGTTTGATGCGCTTGTCTGTTTTTTACGTATACAGATTATGCAAGTTCATAGGTAAGTTTACACTTACTTTAGTATTTGTATGTTTGAAATTGTAGTTTTTTTTAAGTTTGTTTTAAGTAATATGTTTTATTCTGTATTTTTTAATAAGATTCAATAACTTGATTTGTGTTAAATTTTTTTACTGTGAATAGATAAATTTGTTGTTAAGCTGGATGCATCTTTTTTTGTCTTGCAACTGTAGTTTACATCTTGTTTTATATCACTTTTAAATTTAAAGGAGTTTTGATTCTTAATAGTGCAGTATTTGAAATTTTAATGACATATCTTAGCAAAATTTTTAGGAGCTCTAAATGATTAATGATAGATATTGGATAGCAATTTTTTTTTTTGTCAAATTTTTAGAAGCTCTAGGAGCACTCGAGCATTTGTTTCTTATGCTGATGCAGATTTATCTGGGGAAGAAGAACATCTTTCTGATTATGAAGAGTTGGATAATAAACAAATAAAAGATAAAAAATTAAAAGTTGATGCTGGAATAGACAAAAAAAAACATGCAGAAAACCTATGGTCAGATTTTAAAGAGGACGTCAACAAAAAAAGTGGACTCTTGACCAAAAATAGTTTAACAAATGACACTTCAAAAAATGTTTCAGATGAAATAAAAAAAGATATTCCAAAGCATAGCATAAGTACTGCTGATACAAAAACTGATTCTAAGCTTGATGAAAAACTACCTTATAATTTGCAAGAGTCTAATGTTAAAAACTTGGAAGAACCTACATTAAACTCTGATTCAGATATCTCTATTAAAAAAAGTGAATCAGCTGAATGTCCTGAAAAGACAATTAATAGTAATAATGAAATCAATCATGATAGTGAAAAAAAAATTCTCGAAACAATTATAACAGCCAAGGAAGAGTCCCCGAAACCTCAGAAACCTGTAAGTAATTTTTTTTTTAATTTTCTTTTAATTTTTAAGATAAAATTTTTTGATAATATTTTTTTTAATACTAATTAGTATAGTTTTATAAAATCTAGAAATGTTTATACAGAAATTTTAGATACAAAAATATGTTAAAAGGAGTTAGAAAAATAAAGTTTTTGTTTGAAATTTAATGCAAGGCTTCGATAATGGCTGAAGGATCAAAAAAGATGATTGCTGTCACAGAAACATATGATTTTGCTGGTGAAACTGTCAAGTAAATTTTTAATTTTTTAAAATTTAGTTAACATGTAAAGAAAATAAAAAAATGGTTTAAACAGTTTACTCAATGTAATCGTTTTTAATAATAAACAAGAAAATACTAAAAAATAGCATTTTTATTTCTTTATATTTTTTTATATTTAATGCTTATCTTCTTAGAATTAATTGACAATTTTCAGACTATTTATTTTCTCTTAAAAACATTTATTTTAAATAACATAGGTGTAGGTTTTATATAAAACCAATTAGTTTCAATTTATTAATTATAAATGTATTTTTAGGGTCACTAAGCAAGTTCTGGAAAATGATGAACTGTCACAGAGTTCAAGTAGCAGTTTTAATAGCAGTCTTTCAAATTCGTCATCATCAAGTAGCTTGTCATCAAATGAGTAGGTCTTTTAGTAATAAGATTCAAAAAAATGTATCCAAGTTGGTGTCATCTGGTGTCTTTTAATGTAATGATAATATAGATATATCATTTTTGTTAATAAGTACTATATTATATTATTATTCATGTTGAGTTATCAAATGTGCAAATTTTTTATTATTACATTTTTTCGGAGTAAACTACAATTCCTTGATTGAAAAAATTTGTTGCATTAAGCATTTATTTTTACAAGTAGTTGTTAACTATTTTTAAACTTTTTAAATTGTTTTAAAAAAGCTTTTTAATATGTCTTGAAATCCAGAAAACATTTTTTTCACCTGGAGGCTGGTACTTTTAACAAGATATATGTCTAGAAAAAAAAAAATTTCATTGTATTCGGTTTTAAACAGAGTCGAGAAAAATTGAAGTGCATGACTAGTTGAAATTTAAATGATTTGAAAATTTTCTCAAAAACTGCTTAAAAATTTTAATTATTTTTTTTTAAATGATAATTTGTAAGTGAAAATCTGGAAACAACAAGAATAGAGTACGCAAAAAGGTTACTTATGGAGAAATTAAATAAATTTATTTAAATAAGTGAGAAAAAAAAATTTTATTTTAAAAGAGGATGAAACGTGATTGATCCTCTTCTAAAACATTAATAATTAAAAAATTAATAAAGATTATTTTATGCCTCCAGATAATCATTATTACCAAATGATGCATGTGACAAATTCAAGTTCATTTGGTTTGAAAAATTCAAATACAACTTCCTTAAATGATAGGCTATTTGTATTTGAGATCTTAAAAGATCTCTTTTTATTACAACATCAAATTAAATTGTAACTGAATGCTTTGAAAAACGACTTAATCGCTTATTAAAACGACTTAATCACTTATTAAAACAACATAATCACTTATTAAAACAACTTAATCACTTATTAAAACAACTTAATCACTTATTAAAACAACTTAATCACTTTTTTTTTTTAAACATCTTTGCTTCCAACAAGGCTGCAAGCAACCACTAATTAGTGTTGGAAGTTACTGGAAGAGAACAGATGAAGATTGTAGAGCTATAAAAAAACTAGAGGAATAAGAGTTTTTGGAGCACTTAGGAACAGTCACAGATATAGTCCCTATTATAGTATTTGTAGAAAAGAGAAAGAGAACAAATTTATTATTATTTTTTGTTTACAATATTTTTAATAATATTATTATTATTATATTGGTTATTTAAGTAAGCTTCAAGTAATGAAATTTACAAAATTGCAATCATATTTAACAGTTAACTAACTGAAACAAAATAATGTCAATAGTAGAACTAAAAAATAAAAAAACTTTGATAAATTACATAAATTGAAATTATTTGTCTTTTAACAAAAACTCTTATCATAAAAGAAATAAATAGCAACATTATGGCGATGTGATAATCGTTGAAGTTAGGCTGCAAGAGCAGGTCCAACATTGTTTACAATGCATTTTTGCACCTTGTCTAAAAGAAAAAGGGAATCATTAGAAGATCCGCCCCAGATATGGCAACAGTATTCCATACAAGGCCAGATTTGAGATTTGTAGAGATAGAGAATAGAATCCAGAGTAAGAAAGTGTTGAGCTCAATAAAGAGATGCAACTTTAGCAATTTTGCTACGGATTTGATATATGGTTTCCAAGAAATATCAGAAGTAAGAGTCAATCCTAGAAGTAGATGACTCATCAAGTACATTACCATTCATAAATATAGGAAGGTCTAAATTATTGCGATAACTATTGGCTGAAAAAAATTGAGTTTTATCTGAATTAAAGTTCACCAGCCATTATGAGTCCCATGCTGAGCAGAAGTGAGATCCTTTTCAAGCTCAAATGTCCCCTCCAAGCAATCAGAGAGTGTTGGCTTCTTATCATGG